GAATAGAGTTTCTAATCTTCCTAAAAATCTCTATTTATTTATTTATTTATATTGGATTATAGTTGATTTACAACGTTGTGTTAGTTTCAGGTGTACAGCAAAGTGATTCAGCTATGCATACATACATATTTTTTTCCAGATTCATTTCCCTTATAGGTTATTACAAAATATTGAGTATAGTTCCCTGTACTATGCAGTAGGTCCAAATCTTTGCATTTTTTGAAACTTAGGAAGCACCTTCTCAGGATAAATATCATTGCCTCCAAATAAAATTGTCCCACTCACTTGATTAGATTTGCACTGATCCCAAACCATGCAGACCTATGATCAACACTAACTGTATTTAAGTCTCCACCATCTGAGATGATTGTTTTGTCTGATTTTTTTTTTTTTTTTTTTTGCGGTACGCGGGCTTCTCACCACTGTGGCCTCTCCCGTTGCAGAGCACAGGCTCCGGACGCGCAGGCTCAGGGACCATGGCTCACGGGCCCAGCCACTCCGCGGCATGTGGGATCTTCCCGGACCGGGGCACGAACCCGTGTCCCCTGCATCGGCAGGCGGACTCTCAACCACTGCGCCACCAGGGAAGCCCTGATTTGCTGGAGGCTTCACTGGGTCAGACATTTAAATCTTCAGAGGAATTTCTTAAGATGAGTTAAAATGTGACACATCTCTCTCCCCAGGGTAGAAACTATATAACAAAAAGCAGTTATGTCTTATCTGGCAAATGAAGAAGGAAAGTGACCCATCATGAATGTCAGTGGTTCTCAAGGTGAGGTCCAAGGAGCAGCAGTGGCAGCAATGGAATTTCTCAGGCCCCACCCCAGACCTACTTTCTGAAATACGCTGGAGTTGGGGTCCTGTAATTGGTGTTTTAACAAAGGTGAGTCTGACGCATGCTCAAGTTTGCCAACCCTCGATGTAGGATAATGCTGAGGGTATGTGAATGTCAGACCAACTGGCAAGACTTCAGAAACACTAAGCCATCTTGTGAGTTCATCTGTTAGTCTCTGGGACTTCTCTCTAAACGTTTGTAAATTTGGTAATACACTGCATTTTACATCTACATTAAAATTGTTTTATTTCAAAGGTATATACAGTGAACAGCAGTTTCTATTCAATCGTACAACCCAAATATCCCCAACTTTCTCTAGCATCTGGATAAAAATAAGGTCACTTGAACATTGATACTGACATTTCACTGACTTATTTGCCTACAGGCGAAAACCTCAGGGCCTATGCCCTCCACACCCCAGGGCGTGGCTATTGAAAACGGGCTGGCCACAAAGCCTTGCTTGGGCCCCCTCTACCTCAGAGGGCTCCCCTCCTCTCTGGAAATTGGGTTTGGGCAAAGGTGGAAGAGTAAGAAAAAGGGTGGGCTTGGGGGGTTGTTTTTTTGTTTTTATCCAATGAGGGGAACAAGTTGATAAAGGAATAAAAGATCTGTGCCTCAGTTGAGAGAAGTTGTTTCTGCAGCCCTGGGTGCCATCAGAGACAGTTACAGAATTGATGTCCAACAATAATCAGTATCGAGGCTGCAAAGAACTTTTTGGGGGGGTCTTAAAAAATTGCAATTTGGGAGACACAGAATCAGGTAAAACTAAAAGCCTGTTCCGGGGAAGAGAAAGAGTCAGGCGCTTATAAAAGCAAAAGCCACAGGATTGTTCAAGAATTATGACTGACTCTGATACAGGAAAGGAAATATTTGTCCATAAGGGATAGGCTGTCACTGGTTACTTTAGGGTAAGCGTCCAACACATATCTTGAGTTTCTGGAGCACTGGGCAGATGTTCTGAATGCCTGCTTTAGATGGTAAGTGATCAAAGGTCAGGTTCCATCCAGGCTGAGACATGCGTAAGTCACACTTTCTCGATGGCCTCCAGGCTCGATGTGAGAGAGCTCTCTTAGCAACACCAACTCCATTTTGATTTTCCTCTCACAAGCGGGGCCTGCAGCCCCATCGTGGCAGCTCTACCCTCCTGCACTAGGACCCCTTTCACAATATCTCACTTTCACTCCATTGTGGGAAAGTGTCTCTCATGGTCCAGAGGCCCCTATGCGTTGGCTGGCTGCTCTTCATCATGGTACCTCCTCCTTAGCATCTCACTTGTCCACTTAACATCCCTTCTATGAATATTTCTGGAGCTCTTCATGTGTCTGGAAATATAGCTACGAGCAAAACGTAGAGCCTTCATGCAGCTTACATGAAGCTCCATGGAGCTTTCATGGCATAGTCATGCCTTCATGGAACTTACATGCTAAAGGAGAAGAAAGACAATAAATTATATGACGGCAGGTAACGACACTATTTGTTCAAGTCCCTCAGGAGTCTCTCCTGTGCATTCAGCACCAGGCCCACCCATTTCCTCCACTCTGGCCACCTCATTTAGTCACGCACGGTGAGTAGAAGGCATCCCTTTACCACCACGTGAGCATGGGAAAGCAGCACCCCTCGGTGGAAAAGCTCTAGTCTATGGTCCCTGCCAGCTGCTGCTTTTCAGTTCTGTGTAACTTCTCAGGAAGCAGGTCTACCTGTGGGGTGGACGTCTGCTTGTTTTGTCTTCCTAGCACCTCTACCCCATCCCAACCCCCAGAGAATGTCTCCTCCACAACTGGGATAACATGACCTTGACCCAGGCTGGGCCAGCCCTGCTATCCCTTCCTCCTGTCCACAACAATTTGTCCTGAGAAAGGGTACATGACCCAAAGGTCATGAAAGCCAGTCACAGTTCTTTTATGAGATTTGATAAATGGGTGATTAGAAAAGCTCCCTTTCCACTTGGATGTACCTTAACGTGGTAGGAGGCTGGAACTGCCAGCAGGGATGTACCCAAGACATGCAGTGAGTGTACCTGAGAAGCACATAGAGAAATGAGACAAGGGAGCCCTGTTGGCATCTATGGATGTCCCATATCTCACTGTTCCCCAAACCAGTCCCCTCCCTGTACTTAATTACATGGGGTAATACAGATCCTTTTGCACTCAAGTTACTTTCAGTTATTTGCAGCTGAAATAACAGTTGTATGCTGAACCCACATTAATTATGTCACCTACTTTGACTTGGCGTGATGCCAGCGAAAAAATCCAGCATTCATTTTATAAAAATTACCGCAACAATGTGGTGAAGAATCTGCCTGCCAATGCAGGGGACACAGGTCGAGCCCTGGTGTGGGAAGATCCCACATGCTGCGGAGCACCTAAGCTCGTGTGCCACGACTACTGAAGCCCGCATGCCTAGACCCCGTGCAAAGATTAATTCTATTAATTCTTGCCTGAAAAAAAGTACCCTTCCCTTGAGAAGGCTCACAGACCACCAGTATTATCCCTAGAGCAGACTTTAGGAACTTCTGATTACAATAGTTGTCTTTCATAAATCTGAATGCATTTTCACACAGATGAAACTTTGTTTTATGCAGCCAATCCGATCAAATAGAAAAGCTCCTAATCCTAGCAAATACCAGATGTCCTGTTAAATATTATTAAATATTGATGGTGCTATCTTATTACTTTTTAAAATTAATTAATTATTTTTTATCTTTGGCTGCGTTGGTCTTCGTTGCTGAGCGCGGGCTTTCTCTAGTCGCGGTGAGCAGGGGCTATCTTTAATGCGGTGCGTGGGCTTCTCATTGCGGTGGCTTCTCTTGTTGCGGAGCACGTGCTCTAGGCATGCGGGCTTCAGTAGCTGTGGCTGGCGGGCTCTAGAGCGCAAGCTCAGTAGTTGTGGCGCACAGGCTTAGTTGCTTCGTGGCATGTGGGATATTTCAGGACCAGGGCTCAAACCTGCGTCCCCTGAATTGGCAGGTGGATTCTTAACCACTGTGCCACTGGGGAAGTCCCTCTTGTCTTTTTTTTTTTTTTTTTTTTGCGGTACGCGGGCCTCTCACTGCCGCGGCCTCTCCCGCCGTGGAGCACAGGTTCTGGACGCGCAGGCCCAGCAGCCATGGCTCACAGGCCCAGTCGCTCCGCGGCACGTGGGATCCTCCCGGACCGGGGCACGAACCCGCGTCCCCTGCATCGGCAAGCGGACTCTCAACCACTGCGCCGCCAGGGAAGCCCCCTGTTGTCTTTTTGATGATAGCCCTTCTAACAGGCGTGAGGCGATATCTCACTGTGGTTTTGCATTTCCCTAATGATTAGTGATGTTGAGCACCTTTTCATGTTACAAACAGCTTTTTCATTAAAATTTAACTTATTTGTCAGAAGATTGCCTACTAATACCAGATGTCAGTGAACTTTTAAAAATTAAACCTCAAATTAAAGTCAATTTGGCTTGAGAGAACAAGTTTTAAATTCAAAATCCATTTGCCAAAACTGTACATAAATCCATGCCAAAATCTGGGCACCTGATATTCTATTTTGTTTGTTTTAACACAGCTTTTATCCCAACAAAGTTCAAATCAGCAAAGTACGTGCAAACCGGCATCCATATCTATTCTTATCACCCATAGCCACATGTATCTTGCATCTTAGAATCTCAAGGCACTAACAATGTCAGAGGATTAACTGTACATTTAAATGACTGTGTCCCTGAAATGGCGCTAGGAGGAGACCAGATCCGAGCCTTCTTTCCCAAATCAGAAAGCTTTCCCCTTCCGTTAATAAATTTATGTAATTCTAGGTGATGTCTCCTTTTATTTATACAAAACACACACGCGAAACTGGAAAGTTATTTGAACTCAGTAGGCTGAAAACTTAAGGTAAAAAAGGAAGAAACCAAAAACGCCCTTTGCAAACTCCATCCCGCGGGCGGGCTGTAGGGCTTGGGAGGTGGAGGAGAGGCCCTAGACTGGTACCCCTCCGCTCCCGCGCTCCTGCGCCGCAGCCTCCGGGCTGTAGGGGCCGCTGCGGCGCCGAGCTTGCCGAGCGCGCTGGGCCGCTCTCTCCTGCAGGGAGAGACGAGGCGCAGGAGGAGAGGCGGAGCGCAGCGGGCGCGGAGCGGAGGTGACCCAGCGGCAGGTGAGGAGCGGCGGGGCCGGGGTGGCTGGACGGAGGGCCGGCGGGTGGGGACAGGGCGGTCGCCCTACAGCGCACTCGACCCTGGCCTTGGAGGGCCCGGCCGCCATGCGGGCCTCGCTCCCAGGTGCGTGGACTCGGCGGCGTTCTCTCAAGCCCCCCGAATCCTCGCCACTCGGTGGGCGCCCTGAGCCGGGTCTTGGAGATCTCTGCGTGTCCCGCCCCTTCCGTGGACACTTCCACCGCCGGAACCCTCCCATTTCCTGGGCAGTTTCTTGGTATCCCAGCTCACCAAACTTCCTAATTAGGGGAAAGTGGTTTTGTAACTGTTTTCACATGAGGTGCCTCTTTCCTTTTTAACTGTTAAGTCGTGTGTTCCCCCTGCAAGACAATGTCTGGAACTTAACTGAATGCAGTTGTGTTGTTTTGTTTTTTTCTGGAGGCTTCAAAGGTATCAGTCTTTGAGTAGGGCCAGAGGTAGTGTGGGTACCACACTATGGGGAGGGCAGCGGACCCAGGTAGTACTTTACACCCCTCAGATTGTAGGCAACAACCGTTGTCAACATCTTTCTCCTTTTTCTAGGTACAGTAAATTTCAAGAGATGGAAAGAGATATTTTAATAGCGTTTTTTACCTTAAAAACAGCAAATACAGAATTCATCTTTAAAATTTAATTGATTATAATTTTATGTTTCTTAAATCTTGTAATAAATAACTTACAAATGCAGAGTCTTATCAATTTAGGAGTAAGATGGGGTGAAGTGGTGGACTAGGGGTGGGCTGGAAATTGAGAGACCTGGATTATCTCCCTCTCCCTTGGGCAAAGGCAATCTCTGTGGGTTTAGATTTCTTTGTTTAAAAAAAGGGGACTGGATTCGATGGTGAAGATGACAGTAGCTACCAGTTATTGAGCATCTGTTTTGTCCTATAAAAAATGTTACCTCATTTAATCCACATAGTAATTCTATGCATTAGATAATATTATCCCTTTTGTAAAGGTGCAGACTGAGGCTTAGAGAGGTTGTCACTCAAAAACATACACCTAATCTGTAGGAAAGTTGGAATTTGAGGCTATTCTACACTCCCTCAAGACAGAAGTCCTCTGATTCTGTCCCAAACTTGCTTATTCTAATTCAAATTTTTTTTTTTTTTTTTTTTTTTTTTGCGCTACGCGGTCCTCTCACTGCTGCGGCCTCTTCCATTGCGGAGCACAGGCTCCGGACGTGCAGGCCCAGCGGCCATGGCTCACGGGCCCAGCCGCTCCGCGGCATGTGGGATCCTCCCGGTCCGGGGCACGAACCCGTGTCCCCTGCATCGGCAGGCGAACCCTCAACCACTGCGCCACCAGGGAAGCCCCTCAAATTATTTTTAAGGTGTCCTACCCCAAACTTCAAGTGATTTTCTTAAGTATTAAAATAGTGTGGTATGTGGAACTAAAATAACAAGTACATTTATATCTCATTAAAGTATTTTGTCCATTGGCTTTGATTATTGCTGACATGCCTTTCACTAATGTTCTATGATTCTGATAATTTTCTAAATTTATCTTCTACTGAGATACTTATTTCAAAAATGAATATCTGAAGATAAAGGTTTTCCCCCAAAGTAACTCAGATTCTTTATATATTGGTCTAATTTTCATGTCATGCCAATTTTATTTCACTGAATTGTTTAATGTCAGTTGCCAAATATATTCTGGATCATCCTGCAGAGTAAGAATTTTACTAAAGGAGAGAAAATCATTCAAAAATGACTGTTCCTGACTTGGCTTAGGAACATCTTTGTATAGCTTCGCACAGTGTGCATTATTCATTCCAGGGGAGCACCATTCTCACTCACACTTTAGAGTGTGAATGACCCTTGTGGCATTGGTGCAAAGAGTCAGTCCTTTACCTCCGCTGCTTCCTTTTCCTATTGCATATTGCCTTCAACAGAGAGTGGGCAGAAGAAAAAGGTAAAGAACTTTTTACCAGGAGGGACATAAGAAGTAAAAACAGCTTAGTTTAGATCTTTTTTTTAAATTTTTATTTTATATTGGAGTATAGTTGATTTACAATGTTGTGTTAGTTTCAGGTGTACAGCAAAGTCATTTGGTTATACAAATATATATATCCATTCTTTTTCAGATTCTTTTCCCTTATAGGTTATTACAGAATATTGAGTAGAGTTCCCTGTGCTATATAGTAGGTCCTGGTTGATTATCTATTTTATATATAGTATTGTGTGTATCTTAATCCCAAACTCCTAATTTATCCACACTCCCACCTTTTCCCTTTGGTAACCCTAAGTTCATTTTCTATGTCTGTGAGTCTGTTTCTATTTTGTAAATAAGTTGATTTGTATCATTTTTTTAGATTCCACATATAAGTGATATCATATGGTATTTGTCTTTCTCTTTCTGACTTACTTCGCTTAGTATGATAAGCTCTAGGTCCATCCATGTTACTGCAATTGGCATTATTTCATTCTTTTTTGTGGCTGAGTAATATTCCATTGTGTATATATACCACATCTTCTTTATCCATTCACCTGTTGATGGACATTTAGGTTGCTTCAGTGTCTTGGCTATTGTAAATAGTGCTGCAATGAACATTGGGATGCATGTATCTTTTCAAATTATTGTTTTCTCCAGATATATGCCCAGGAGTGGGATTGCTGGATCATATGGTAGCTCTATTTTTAAGTTTGTTTTTTTTTTTTGAGGTACGCGGGTCTCTCACTGTTGTGGCCTCTCCCGTTGCGGAGCACAGGCTCCGGACGCGCAGGCTCAGTGGCCATGGCTCGTGGGCCCAGCCGCTCCGCAGCATGTGGGATCTTCCCAGATCAGGGCACGAACCCGTGTCCCCTGCATCGGCAGGCGGACTCTCAACCACTGTTTAACCAGGGAAGCCCCTGTTTTTAGTTTTTTAAGGAAACTCCATACCGTTCTCCATAGTGGCTGTACCAATTTACATTCCCACCAGCAGTGTAGGAAGGTTCCCTTTTCTCCACACCCTCTCCAGTATTTATTGTTTGTAGACTTTTTGATGATGGCCATTCTGACCAGCGTGAGCTGATACCTCATTGTAGCTTTGATTTGCATTTCTCTGAGGATTAGCTATGTTAAACATCTTTTCATGTGCCTATGGGCCATGTGTATGTCTTTTTTGGAGAAATGTCTATTTAGGTCTTCCACCCATTTTTTGATTGGGTTGTTTGTTTTTTTGATATTGAGCTGCATGGGCTGTTTGTATATTTTGGAGATTAATCTCTTGTCAATTGCATCGTTTGCAAATATTTTCTCCCATTCTGTAGGTTGTCTTTTCATTTTGTTTATGGTTTCCTTTGCTGTGCAAAAGCTAAGTTTAATTAGGTCGCATTTGTTTATTTTTGTTTTTATTTTCATTACTCTAGGAGGTTGATCCTTTTGGATTCAAAAAGATATTGCTGTGATTTATGTCAAAGAGTGTTTTGCCTGTGTTTTCCTCTAAGAGTTTTATAGTATCCAGCCTTACATTTAGGTCTTTAATCCATTTTGAGTTTATTTTTGTGTATGTTGTTAGAGAATGTTCTGATTTCATTCTTTTACATGTGGCTGTCCAGTTTTCCCAGCACTACTTATTGAAGAGACTGTCTTTTCTCCAGGAGGGACATATGAAGTAAATATAGTTTAGTTTAGTTTAGATCTTTTTTTACAGGCAGGTATGAAAAATTCTCCTCTCTTCTATTTAAAAAAATTATATACAACAGTTTCTTTTCATGAGTTGTTAAGGGAACAACAAATGGGTGATGGAAAAATGAAGAAGAAATAAGAATGGGGGCACCTGGACAGATTGCAGAGCCAGGTGGTGGCCCTGGGTTACCTGATTTATAGAGCGTTTTACAGGTGGGCCTACACAGAAACTAATCACCAAATTACTTAGCCAGGAGCAGTTCAGTGCCAGGTTCCCATCATCCTTGTGCGTGCGCGCGCACGTGCGCGCGCATGCGTGTGTGTAATATTTATTTATTTGGCTGCGCTGGGTCTTACTTGCGGCATGTGAAATCTAGTTCCCTGACCAGGTATCGAACCCAGGCCCCTTGCATTGGAAGCGCGGAGTCTTAACTGCTGGACCACCAGGGAAGTCCGGAGATTCCCCTTTTAATGCAATAAATGAGGTTCCTAGCTTACAAATAAACATATCTTGAAAGCAAGTGTATCTAGAGATTCGTCAGTATCATATACAAATAAGAAAGTGCTAGTTACCTGCAGTGGGAAAAGAAGAGTAAGGGAAGAAGTGGGAGAAAGTGATGGGGAGACTTAGGAAGTTCTGATGGACATGTGCTAGATGTTAACTGTTGTCTTAGGTACTGCTGATTCAAGGGGTAATGTTGGAATAGGTTGTTGCTGTGCTTTGAACTTACGGTGCTGCAGCTTTTTAAAATGGAATTATATTAGCTCTGCACTTGAAAGTAGCTAGTCAGCTTTTACTACTGGATTAAAAGTTTGATTTTGAAATAGAGACTTGTTTTCCCAAAAAGCACTGACAATGAACACATCTGTGAAGAAACAGCTAAGGTTTTGCATCTTACATACTTTATTTATTCAACCACCACATCTTTAATTTCTGCCCCAGGCATATTCCTACAGCTCTGTGTGCTGGGCATGTGAGGAGATGCAGAAGAACCTTCTCTTACATGAAAGAAATGGGGCTTCCCTGGTGACGCAGAGGTTGGGAGTCTGCCTGCCGATGCAGGGGATATGGGTTCGTGCCCCGGTCCGGGAAGATCCCGCATGCCGCGGAGCGGCTGGGCCTGTGGGCCATGGCCGCTGAGCCTGCGCGTCTGGAGCCTGTTTTCCGCAACGGGAGAGGCCACAACAGTGAGAGGCCCGCGTGCCGCAAAAGAAAAAACAAAAAAAAAAAAACATGAAAAAATGTTCTGCTTTGTTCTGTTCTTATATATCACAAATTCTTACCTACTAAGGCCCTTTTTGGCCTCAGAAATCTGTTTCTTTTTACATAAAGTACAGAAGGTTGTTAAAATTCTTTATTAGTTTTATCAGTGGCATAAACAAGTTATGCAGTTTGGGGAGAACTATTGTAACATCTTCAGTGACTGTGGCTCATTAAAGGAGAAGCAGCAATAGAACTGAGCTGTCTTATTCCAGGCCTAGTAAAAGAATGATATATAATGGAAAATATTATTTTCATACGTTCCCCAAAGTATCGCAAACAATGGAAATTGTGGCATATTAAATCTTTTTAAATATAGTGTAGTAGGTAATTTAAATTGTAAAAGGCCCTTTCAATAAACATTTGCAGTGGTTTCTAGCCCAGGTGTTCTTTAATTGTCATTTCTGGCCAAGAGTTTAACATAAACAGAATGTGGATGTCTAGAGGTTGCAGTATAATAACCACTACCTTGATTGCTTATTTGCTTGATTCGTCACAAAGCAAATGTAGGTTCGGCTTAGGAAAGAGGAGACCAAAGAATCTTGCATGTGTATATATATAAATATTAATATATCTGAGAGGCTTGAGAGGCTGTCTTCCAGGTTATAGTCCTCAGTAAGGTCCCCAAATGAAACTTAACTTGCAACTTGTAGCTTGCGCATTTTTCTTCACTTGACAGTTTCAGGAAGTTCACGTAAGAGTCGGGCATATGAGTGGACCCCTGGTTCTGCAGAAAATGTTGGATTTTTTTGCCAACCTTGGGCATGACGAGTTTCAAGCAAGTGTGTGCTGGCTGAAAAAATTTCAGGCATGTCATGGAATGATTCAGAAGTTGTCTGTAGTGAAAAAAACACTGTTCAGTAGAGAAAACTAGTAACTTGAATGCAGTTGAAATTTAAAAAAAATTGCTCGTTACAGCTTGAATGACGTTTTAAATGCTGATGAAATAAGTGTTTTACGAGTTGTTACCTCATATACTTCGTGTCCAAGGTAGACTTCGCAGAAGAGGTAAACAGAGGTTGATGATTGCTGTATTCTGCTGTAATGCATCGTGGTCGGAAGAGATGAGACCACTTGTCATTGGCAAGTCAGCTAACCCCCAGGGCTGCAGAAATGTTTATTTGCTCCCCAGTGATTATGAAACGAATACACATGCCCAAAGTATGGGAGGTTTATTTACTGAATGGCTGAGAATGGTTAGCAAAGGGATGGAAGGAGTGAAACCAAGATCCTCTTGCTAATGGCCACCTGCTGTGCCTATAGCACACTCCTGTGTTTGGATCACACATGTGTTGGGCTTTCCCACTGAATAATCAGTATGTTTTGAAAAAACTGAACTAACTTTCTCCATAAGTAATAAAGTTGCAAAAATACTGCTTTTATAAAGACTATAAAATGGAAGACTTAAAGAATACTTGAATAAACAAAGCCCCAATGAGTGTTTAAATGTGAGTGTTTGACTCTCATTTCATAACATTTACTATATGAGAGGGTTCAACATTTCCCCTGAAGAATTTTATTATATTGTCATCAAGTTCAGCCTTTCTTTGGAAGGTGTCTTTCCCTACCTTCTTCCTTGCAATTCTGCCCCCCGCCCCCAAGCATTCCGTGGCAGGAATGGTAGGAATAAGCTTTTGCCTAATAGTATCTAGAAGAGAAAAATATTCACAACATGATGACATTCCAGCTGGGAGAACCAGAAGCCAAAAGACATACTCGGATCTAATAGGATAAATTCTGAGTAATTAAGAGAAAAAAGGGTATTCAGATTAAGGAGGTAGCATAGTGGTTGTTTCCAGAGAGTGGCTGATAGGCAGAGAGGGAGTGAGGACTGACAGCTGCTCACCCTTCTGTCTGGTGCTGGTGCTGGGGTGACCGGTGGAGGAAGGCAGAGGGGGTGGGAGCAGTGGAGCAATGGAATGCTCCTGTCCTGAAGGGCTATTGGAAGGTGAGGAAGAGTGAAAATGGAAGGAAATTAAGAAGGTGTGGATAACCCACAGGCCACTTCCACCCTCAGCACCCCCTTCATATAACAAGATACAGTGTGACTCAGACCAACAAACAAATTATCTAGCCTCTTGGAAAAGTAGGAAGACAATTTTTGCATACCTCACTAGTTTGGTCTAAGAGATGAAAAATAAAATAGCCATTTTGCCAAGCAAAACCTGAAGTTCCATTTACAAAGTATGTGTTATACAAAGGAAGAAAATAATTGACCATCACTTTGGTGGAAAAGTGGACTGGAATTCAAAAAAGAATGAATACGGAATCCGTTTCTTAAAGAGCATTATCAAAAGAACATAATCTGGAAGGGAAAAAAAGTCTCTCATTTTATTTTTAGGTACTAAATCATCATTAGTCAAGATGTCTTCAGCACCTGAGCCTCCAGCCTTTAAAAAGGAGCCACCCAAGGAAAAAGACCTGGGAAACCCAGGGCTCAGAGGGGTCCGCTCCACAACCTTATTTCGAGCTGTGAATCCAGAGCTCTTCATTAAACCTGTAAGAAATACATCCATGATAAGACTTTTTTTTTTAATATTTATTTATTTATTTGGCTGTGCTGGGTCCCAGTTGCAGCATGTGGGACCTTTAGTTGCTGCATGTGGGATTCAGCTCCCCGACCAGGGATCGAACCAGGCCCCCTGCACTGGGAGCGTGGAGTCCCAGCCACTAGACCACCAGGGAAGTTCCCAGGATAAGACTTTATGTTCAATTTAACTAGGCTGTCAGAAATAGAAAGTTCTTATTATTTGATTTTATCTTGGAAGAGCTCTCTGTGAATAAAAAGCAGGTGGAAGGGAGATCTTAAATGCTGTTTCACTTAATACACATATAAAACTAATTATTTTGAGCACATTTGGAGAATTGTAATGGAAAATGGTTGGATTTTAATGGATTGACTTCAAATTCCCGTTTAAAATTTTATTTTAATATCTGCATTAATTTTAAGGAAATTTTTATTGTTTGATCAAGTATTATTAAGTAAATAAGATCTTCCATTGAAACAAAGAAAACAGACTGAAAATCTGATCATTCTTATAGTCTACAATTCCAGGTTTTATTAATATTTTAACCTAGGGGGATAGTGCAAACATATCTTGAAAAATTTCAAAACATGCATTTGTACACTGTTAGGGAGTTAGCTAATCATTCATATTTTTGTAGCAAGTTATTGAATATATTTGATATGATAAATTTTACTTTTTTTAAAACTCAGATCATACAATGTACTTAAATGTATTGAATGTGATTAGAATTTTAATAACATAGTTGCCAGTATAAGCTGTTTGAAAGTTAAATAGGTCAATTTAACAATCAAATCATTAAATCAAAGTAGAATGTTTTAAAAACGTTGAACTAATGTATTCTTTTTTATATATATATATTTATTTATTTACTTATTTATTGGCTGCGTTGGGTCTTCGTTGCTGCACGTGGACTTTCTCTAGTTGCAGGGAGCGGGGGCTACTCTTCGTTGCGGTTCATGGGCTACTCTTTGTTGCTGTGCCTGGGCTTCTCATTGCGGTGGCTTCTCTTGTTGTGGAGCACGGGCTCTAGGTGCACGGGCTTCAGTAGTTGTGGCACGCAGGCTCAGTAGTTGTGGCTCCTAGGCTCTAGAGCACAGGCTCAGTAGTTGTGGCTCGCGGGCTCTAGAGTGCAGGCTCAGTAGTTATGGCGCACGGGCTCAGTTGCTCCGCAGCATGTGGGATCTTCCCGGACCAGGGCTCGAACCCGTGTCCCCTGTATTGGCAGGTGGATTCTTAACCACTGCGCCACCAGGGAAGTCCCTAATGTATTCTTTTAATTGCCAAATACATTTCAAGAATTGTAAATTTAGGGCTTCCCTGGTGGCGCAGTGGTTAAGTATCCGCCTGCCAGGGCAGGGAACACGGGTTCGAGCCCTGGTCCGGGAAGATCCCACATGCTGCGGAGCAACTGAGCCCGTGTGCCGCAACTACTGAGCCTGCGCTCTAGAGCCCGCGAGCCACAACTGCTGAGCCCGTGTGCCACAACTACTGAAGCCCATGCGCCTGGAGCCCGTGCTCCACAACAAGAGAAGCCACCGCAATGAGAAGCCCACACATCGCAACGAAGAGTAGCCCTCGCCGCAACTAGAGAAAGCCCGTGCGCAGAAACAAAGACCCAACGCAGCCATAAATGGATGAATGAATGAATAAATAAATAAATAAAATAAGAAATATTTTTAAAAGTATTGTAAATTTAAACTGCTCTGAGGCTTGACCTTTATTTTTTTTGATGATTAAGATTTGAAATAATAGTAGTACAACAGGTATGGTGACAGAAGCAGAAAATACAAATTTAAAAAGCTTTTTTAAAAAAAAAAATTCAAAGCTGCATCACTTTGCCTCTTAGGGTCTTGGATTTTACAGCAGCAAATCAAGGTTATTATAATAGCATTTCTCTTCCAATCACTAAATTTCTTGAGGTAATAGAATAAGTTCCCAGAGAAGAGCGTGTATATTTTGCTGTACCTGGTATATGACATGAAAGGGTTTCTGCCAGTTATCCATGAACTCAGGTGAGAAGAATAGCATGTATACTTCATTCCTCACTTCCTAATAAAATTAACTAATTTAAGGTTTGCAAGTGGGAAGCTTGGGCCCAGAGAAGTTAAGCAACTTTTCCACATCACACAGATAACACTGAAAACTCTGAGCACTGGACCAGTTTTCGTGCCTCTCGTTTCCCTCGCACCTCTTCCAGCCTCACCTTCCTAAAGGTGAAGGTTGGAGATGTCCCAGCTGTGGAGAGAAGAAGCAAGAGTCTTCTATAGTCTCTAAATTATCAGGAGTTGAGTTAATTGAATAAAGAACTGGGTAAATTTTTATAAATGAAATTAATACCATAGGAATGTGGTGTGGTACTAAAGCCTTGGCATGTCAAGAGAAAAGTGCAAGAGATACTTGAGTCTCCTCAAATGATGAGTCTTAATGAGGTCTTATAATTTTTTTCCTTTGACAGAACAAACCTGTAATGGCTTTCGGATTGATAACCCTTTCACTTTGTGTGGCTTATATCGGTTATCTACATGCGACACAGGAGAATAAGAAGGACCTCTATGAAGCTATTGATAGTGAGGGACACAGTTATATGAGGAGGAAAACATCTAAGTGGGATTAACAGTGCTGGTTACTGCAGATGGAGCTTTACTGGGGACTCTGAAATCTTCAGGTGAAGATTAGCACCAAACAGTATCTTGTTTCTTGTTCTAGAAGATGCTGCTGAGGAAGAAGGATGACGGTTGCAGCCAGGCCACTATAGTGAATGTTGTCCTTTCAAAACTGTAGCCATTATTGCATTCTTTTTCCACAGAAAGAGCTGCTCAATATTTTTTCTTGACTAAATCCTCTTGTAAAAGTGCCATGAGAATGGAAGTCACTTTTGTGAGTTAAGTTCTATATAATAAAAAGTACCGATGCTCTTAAATTTACATGGTATTTTTAACATTTTAAGGGGAATTGTGCATTTACAACTGTTGTGAGTGTTTAGTTTGTTTTGCTGTTTGCAAGGACAGTGTTCATTTTCTACCTGGCATAGAACCTATATTTGTAAAGAAAAAAACAATTGTAAATTATCGTAAAGCCTGCAGTTAAAAACAAATAGTTTTTACAGAGTCACAGATGGGTCTTACATTTCGATTTTCCATTTCAGCTAATTTTGGTCCAGAATTTTAATTGAAAAGATACTCCCATTCAACTACTAAAATAAAGATTAAATGAGAGAATAACCCAAAGTAATTGGAGTTTTTCTTTTTTTAAAAGGAAAGTATGTTATACTGAGTATGATGTTTTTATTTGACTACAACCATTATCTGTTTTGGTTTTTGTAAATGTTACAGTGATATTATAAATGTAGACCAAATGTTCTTACAGTTATTTAAAAACTAGAACTACTCAATAGATAAGAAAAGAAGGTCTAGTTTTAAAATAACCATAAGAACATGGGTTTACCTTATATATATATACCTTTCTGATGAGTGTTCTAGACCTGTTTCATTTCTAGATATTTACCACATTCTCCAAATCATTGGAATTGGAGCTCAGTAATAAATCTCATCTCTGAAATTTTGTTTCATTTATTATTAACAAGTAAAATAATTGCATAGGCAGAGTTTATCATCATAATGTAATATTTAATTTCCAGTGCTTTTTTGTGGTTTTGCAAGATACATGAAAATGTAATTATGTCTGATTTGTAAATATTAAAGAGCTTAGCTAATTATCTACATGCAACTAAATTAAGTCTTTACTACTGAGCCCTAAATATTTCTTTGCTAGGTGTCTCTGTATAGTACACTTAATGTAGTTTAAAATGCACTTAGGAGGTATAAAATGCCTTTTAATTTAAAGTATTATCTTCTGCTGTTGGTTATTAAAGAACTAGAGTTCTTCTGTTTTCAACTTACGCATTTAATGTCACATCATTGTCTTTAGAGTTCTTCTAGTAGTCAACAAAATAAGTTGCTATTTGGTGAGGGAGTTATTAGTTAGGTGAGCTATCAGGAGATATTGCAGCAAAGAAGGGCATCCAGAACTGGACAGAGGGCGGCCTTAAGCCATGTGACGTGTGTGAATGAACCAGGGTAGCAGTAGATTCCGCAAGGCACACAGCTGTGAAAAGTAGTGCAAGGGAAGAAACCCATTGAATTTTAGGAGCAAGTAACTGTGATACTATTTACAGGGTGGTTACAAGTTCTGTAGCACAGTCTTTCTGTGTGCAGTGTCAAAGGCTGCCTGGCTGTGTGTTGATGTTTTCATTCCTTCTCTAAAGGAAAATGCCACTTTGACAGAGTCAGTTGTCTAAGGAGGGAATGCTCAGGGCAAGATAATTACAGCCTTTTGTAGTCTGGGTTCAAGTGGTAGGAGGAATGTTTTCCAGTGCAGGAATCTGATTGAGATTGGGCAAACTCAGTAACATAAGAGATTCAGTCTTGAAGCAAGTCTTGGTAAGTGAACCTTTGATAAGGTGTAAGCGACCTCTTTGCCTAGGGAAGCAGTCTCTTCTGATAGAAGAGCTATTTGCCCAGAGGAGCGAGCAGTTCAACTGACAAGTTGATAAGAATTTCCTGACGTAAACAGTGAAGTTACTTATTATTTTATACCCTTATCGGGTGACCAATCTGTCCCAGTTTGCCAGGCATCAAGAGGGTTCTTGAGATGTAGGACTTTCCATTTTAAAACAAGGACAACAAATTAGTTAACTCTGATTTTTAAAACCAAGCTTAGTAATTTTGAGTGCTTGCTTAATGAAAGTAAATATTCCTTTAAGACACTTGTGATATTTCCCAGTTTTATTGCCATGGCACAAAAACATATTTATAGATAACCTGAAAAAAATTAAACTCCCTCCTTTTCTGGCCTAAAAAATCACTTCTTTTTTTAAAATTTTTTTTTGGTACGCGGGCCTCTCCCGCTACCGAGCACAGGCTCTGGACGCACAGGCTCAGCGGCCATGGCTCACGGGCCCAGCCGCTCTGCGGCATGTGGGATCTTCCCGGACCAGGGCACGAACCTGTGTCCCCTGAGTCGGCAGGCGGACTCTCAACCGCTGTGCCACCAGGGAAGCCCCAAAAGTCAATTCTTTAAAACAAACCATTTAACAGAAAGTATAGCAGGCTGAATAATATTCCTTTTCCCCCAGCCACCCCAGAGATGTTTGGATACTAATCCCTAGAACCTGTGAATATGTTCCATTATATGGCAGAAGGGTCTTGACAGATGTGATTAAGTTCAGGATTTTGAGATGGGGAAATTATCCTTTATTATCTGGGTGGACTTGATAGAATCACAGAAGTCCTTATAAGAGGGAGGCAGATGATCAGAGGAAGAAGCAATGTCACCCTGCAAACAGGAAGAGAAAAGGCTATATTGATGTGAGTCCATGGGCCAAGGAACGTGGGTGGCCTCTGGAAGCTGGAAAAGGCAAGGAAACAGATTCTCCCCTAAAGCCTCCAGAAGGACCAGTGCTGCTAACATCTTAATTTTAGCCCCATAAGACTCATTTTGGACTTCTGACCTCCAGAAGTGCAAGAGAATAAATTTGTGTGGTTTTAAGCTACTAAATATGTGGTAATTTGTTACAACCCCAGAAGGAAACTAATACAGAAGGTATCTGGGAAATGAACAGCTGTACCATGTTCCCTTTAGTCATTATTTCTAGTCGCTTTTATGAGCAAAGCTTGCCTTACCTAGCAACAGTTGCTAAGTAAGTTAACAGTTTAATCTAGAGTCTAGGAGGGAGCAACTGCTTAAATCTTCCCAAATCCAGTGCCCAGACCTTATAATGGCAGAGGCTTTCATTACCATTCTTTACCATTAGGCACATAACCACTACCTAATCATGGCAAATCATTTAATCCTTGCAGGCCTCTAGCATTATCTTCAAACCTTGAACCTCTTCCAGCTTTCTCAAACATCTAGCTTTTCTTAAAATTACTTTTTCTGATCCTAAAAGAGTGTTTTGGCTGTACGTAGTAAAAGACAAATTTAATTATGATCAGAAATCCGAATTACACAAACTTTGTTTGCTGTGCTGTATGTAATAAGATAATTCCACCAGCCCCCTTTGGGAAAATCTTCAAACAGATCCATGAGTACAAGCCATTTAAGACACGCTTTTACACTCACAAAGATATACTGGGTAAGTGACTTTGCTGTTTCTCTTTGTTCTAATGTTTCATAGCATTATATGACATTCTTCCTGATGTGTAGACTTTGATCAGCCCTCCTGATCAAAGTTGCTTGTCCTGCAGGGGTGTCTGTTTGGCATGAGAAGAATGTGGGTTGAAATCCAGTTCTCCACTTCCCAGTTGTGTGCCTTGACAGTATGCTTAGTCTCTCAGTCTGTCTCCTTATATGTAAATAGGTATGTTAATACTTACCTTGCAGATTTGTCTTGAGGCTTTAATGAAATATTTGTACCTATTCTAAAGTCTGGCACATAATAGTAACTGAGAGTTCTTTTTGCCCTTCCTCATAATTGGGCACCTTCCATACACACAGGAGAGGAAATATCTCTAAGTAATACCTTAATACATGGGTGAAAGAAACTATATTTTTTTAATACATCTTTATTGGAGTATAATGCTTCACAATGGTGTGTTAGTTCCTGCTGTGTAACAAAGTGAATCAGCTGTACGTATACTTATATCCCCATATCCCCTCCCTCTTGGCGTCTCCCTTCCACCCTCCGTATCCCACCCCTCTAGGTGGTCACAAAGCACCGAGCTGACCTCCCTGTGCTATGCGGCTGCTTCCCACTTGTTATCTATTTTACATTTGGTAGTATATATATGTCCATCCCACTCTCTCACCTCCTCCCAGCTTACCCTTCCCCCTCCCCGCCCTCAAGTCCATTCTCTATGTCTGCGTCTTTATTCCTGTCCTGCCACTAGGTTCATCAGAACCATTTTTTTTTAGATTTCATATATATGCGTTAGCATATGGTAAAACTATATTAGTAGCTGGTGACATAAAAGTAGGTAGATCTGGGTAACAGAATATGTACTATATATACACTTCTTTTTCTTCCTCTTTTAAATCCTTTTGTATTTTTAAAAAATTTTTATTGAAATATAGTTGATTTACCATGTTTCAGGTATATAGCAAAGTGATTCATTATATATATATAAATATAAAAATTTATATAAATATTTTAAATTTTTATATAAAATATTTTATATAAAATATATATAAAATATATATTCTTTTATATAAATATATGTTCTTTTTCAGCTTGTTTTCCATCATAGGTTATTACAAGATACTGAGTATAATTCCTTGTGCTATACAGTAGGTCCTTGTTTATCTATTTTATATATAGTAGTGTGTATCTGTTAATCCCAAATTCCCAATTTATCCCTCCCCCCCATATATACACTTCTAGTAAGCAAATCAAGTTGTAATTACAGGTTTCCTTCTCTCCTCATCTCCGTCAGATTTTTCAGTCTGACTTTAAGCCTTAAAAGTGTTTTCCTAAGAACTCTCAAAATACTTCTCATATCCTCTCTTCCTTAATATGTTAAATTAGTGGTGATTTAATTTCACTCCTGATCTTTGAACATGTAAGAAGCTAGAGAATGGACGGTGTTTTGAAAAAGCTAAAATGTAGCGGGAGATCAAATTGGGATCATCCTCTAAAAATATCAATACTAAAACTGATAACTGCTTTTAACTTTTAGTAACTGTTTAGTATGACTTATTAATTATTATTTCTATAATGATTTGACCTTTTACACCCAGAGCAGTGGATATCTATTCTTAATATGCTTTTATTGGTTGATTCCTTATGCCTCCTAGGATATTTGAATCCAAACATTAAGTGAATAAATTAAAGCATGTTGAAATGTCTGTATAAATGCTAATGGGTATTGCATAGGGTAGTTCTCAACCCTGGCAGTGTCCTACAGAACTTTTAAATCC